ATCCAACAATTCTAAAATCAAAACCAAAACCGACTAGGAATCCCAATAATTCTAAAACCAAAACCAAAACAGACTAGGAATTTTGTTTGTCCCAATAACCTGCTATCCAACAATTTCAACCAAAGAAGCTATCATGGCATCGTCATATCAAGATCTATAGTTCATTTATATGTTTGGGTTGACTCATCCAAGTGGTAATTTAAACGCATATTTGAAAAATTAAAAGTTCGTCTCTAACTTACAATTTTTTTTTGTGAATGAAAAATTTTATTCACTACCAAAATTTGAACGTTTAATACACCTTAAGAAAACTCAGTTTTTTAAAAACTAAACTGAGTAACAAAAGAAAAGGGGAAACTGAAAAACCAAAAAAAAACCCTCTAACACTTTACATTTTGATATGGACTTGCTGGGTTATTGAGAACAATGTATAAAATCTCCATCTTGATTTCTTTGATCACAGTATCAGCATCCTTACTTATCCCCTGGAACAGTCTTCTATTTCTTTCCCTCCATAATATGTATATCGTAGAGACCATGGCCATTCTTTTGAGCTCTAACTTACAATTTTATTAATGTCCATAGATGAGCTTCTGTCATGCCGTGGGTTCGTAAGTCTATTGTGGCAGTATATGCAAAAATGTTAGACATATTTTTATACTTGATTTCCATGACCAGCACTATAAACTCATTAATACAATGTCGCACTGAAAAGTGTGGAATCGTAGTCACCCCACCTCAAATACGCGACATTCTCATCGCCACATGACCATAGTCTATCACAGGATGATCACTAGGTGATGTGAATTCTAGAGGTGACTCGCAAGTTGTGAAAATAACTCCTTCCGTGCTCTCATGGTAACACTTAGTTCCATATTTTGAACTGGGTAAATGCTTTGGTACCATTTATCATGCCCTTGGCCATGAGTACTTGCTGGCGTAATGCATGTACTAGGACCCACAAAGTGCAATGTTTGCTGCAAACCATTCCCAGAAAATGACTAGCCATTTAATGCACTTGATTCCCATATTGACTTATAGAAGCATATCTTTGCAAGCTACTGATATAGGAGTAAATGTATGGGATTTATAAGCTAAATCATGGACAAGGGCATCAATAACTAGTGATTATTTTAGCAGTGATTTGAGCCAAACAACATATTATACTTAGTATGTCATAGATTTAAATTACCAGTCAATAGGGTTGGATGGAGCGCTTAGTAATTTTTTTTGTTAAGCATATAGGATAAGGAGATTTATTGGAAAATAGAGTATTGGAAGATGTGGCTTATGAGGATTTTACTCAAAAATTAATAATTTACCACTTGAAAAAAGAATCCCCTCAGTTTCATCTTTCTTTCTTTTAACGTTAGACCGTACATTTTTTGTCATTGTAGCTCGGCCGTACCTACCATGTGTCTTCACTCTTTAGGCATTATTGCGAGAATAGAAACCCTAGATTTTTCCCATCAATAAAACAAGGAAAAGGAGCTAATCCCATTTTCTATGACTCCCTTCTTCTTCCTCTCCTTCTTCTTCTTCTTCCTCTTGCTTCCTTTGTTTTTGTTTCTCGCTTAATTAACATTATATTCAGCATGGATTTGTTTTCACCCTCAGAGCATCTATGCTACGTTCATTGCGCCTACTGTAACACTGTTCTTGCGGTAATTTACCTTAAAATTACAAATTTATTGGTTCCTAATGTTTATAAAGTGTTATCATCACATCTGCAAATAAAGCAGAAGACTCACTTTTGTTTTTCTTTTTCCGGGTGAATGAAAGAATTTCATTACCAAGGAGCAAGAGACCCCCGCTAATTTAATCATATATGTTAGTTTATAATGCATATATAGTTTATTTTCAATTTATTTCTTTTTAAGGGGAGAAATAGATCATGTTTTTGTGAATGTATTTTAATTTGGTTGCAGGTCGGAGTTCCTAGCAAAAGGTTAATGGAGACGGTGACTGTGAAATGCGGTCATTGCAACCATCTCTCTTTCCTTAGTCCAAGACCGCCGTGGGTTCAAACCCATTGCACTAGTGACCTTCATTTGGAATTATTTCAGGTCGGCATTGGCTCTCAATAGTATATATATCGATTAAGTTGAAACTATACCGTCTCCTAATTTTTCGGATATGATGATGCAATGTATTATAAGTGAAGTAAAATGTTTTAGGTATATAGACGTAGGTTGATTAAATTCTGCATTGGATCGATGTTTGCCCCTTTCAATTAGACAATATTGTATTAGTAGTGGCAACATCCAATAACTAAAAATTGGCTTCAGTTTGTAACAATACGTTTTATCTTTCCACCAAAAAAAAGTTTATAAATGAAAATAGACAGATTTTTCTCATTGTCTTTTACTCTTGGTATATCAATCTTATTTTCTTATGAAAAAAATGATTTTTCTATTCTTATAAATTAAACTCAAGGTGTAAAACTATATTGGTGCTAAAATCTTCTTTTTAAGAGTTTCTATATTTAATTCCTTTTTCTTTCAAGGCTTAAGAGGAAGAATACTCATTTTGATTACTTTATCGATCGGTTTGCAAAGACTTTCATGAATATGTACTACATAAGAATCATTATATGGGTACTTCTGAACATTTATACATACATATAAAATTTATTAATATAATATATCAGCGGAAATTACAAGATCAAGTAGCTCTTTAGCAAAATGCTATAATTCTCTTTATGTCACCTATTAAATGATAGTAGTGAAGTTATTATATATTACCCTGACAGAGAATGTAGGAGCTAATCTGAATGTCTGCTCACTTTATTGTGAATTATTTAGGATCCTTGCAATGATTGTAGAAAGAGTCAAAGCTCTGCGTCATCTTCATCTTCATCTGGAGATCAAACAAACTCAAATGTGCCATTTGTTGTGAAACGTACGTAAAGCAACATTTACTAATTTAGCTCAAAATTATTTCTCCGTTATACATGTTTTCATTGTTATAACTTGATTGTTAATATCTATGGCAGCTCCAGAGAAGAAACATCGACTACCATCTGCTTACAACCGATTTATGAAGTAAGAATATTTAGTGATAGTTAGATCTAATTTATATGTATATTCCGATTCCTTGTAGAAATGTATTATGCTTTTGATGCAAATATTCTGTTGGCTAAAGTTTTACTTAATTCACAAAAAGAGTTCTCCATGAGATGTTTACTAATGCTAATTTTTTCATAATAGAAGGAGCAGTGCCAAATCCTTGCAATGCAAGTCATTTCTTATCTGAAGTAACTTTATCAAAAGTAAATATGAAATAACTATTAGTTTGTCATTTTGTACTATATAAAAGGGGAACTTAACAAGCAAATCGTTAATTTCATAGGAAAATAGCTTGTATTAGATAGGATCGATGAATGTAGTTTAAAAATGATGAATTGGATGATTATTTCTTAAATGGTCAGATGTATTTTTGGTTCATGCTTTTTCTATGTTACTCCTTATTTTTCAACTATATATATATACTACTGTTTTCACTAACTATATATATTCCTTATTATTTGCCAGATCCCAAAACTAACACAATGGATGAAAGAAGAAGAAAAAATCAGCTAGCATTTTTTAGCTCTTAATTTCTACTGCTGCCATAATTTTTTTCATTAATTTAGCTATATTTTGTTTCTCTTTTCATTAATTATTAAAGCTTTTTGAGATTCGTCCTTAATATCAATTGTCAACTAGACAAACTACTTTCTTCCTGTGTGTTTATGTCAGAGAATTGATTGTGTGGGTAAATGGATATTTAGAGAAGTTTAGGGTCTATTAATTTTTCTTGATAGCTGGTCAATCAGAAAGAAGTAGATTCCTGCACATGTAACACATGTTAGAGAGTCAGAGTTGATTGCTTTGGCGTGCCCACTAACGTTCAAGTCATTAATAGATTAAACAAATTTGAAAGATGCAGAATCTAGTTTTAGGGTGTTATACAACAATTTTTACGTACTTTTAGAGTAGTGGAGATGGCCCATTATTTCTAGAGGGTTGCCATGGGCACGTTAAATAATTTGATCGGGTTGGTGTAGTAGGTTGATTAGTTCGCACTTTACACATGTCAACAGTCAGCTGAATGAGTCACCTTTGCATTTAATGTGATAGTGACAGAATGGCGGAGGTCCCGGCGTCGTCTGAAGAGTCATATCTTCAGGCTGAAGAGTCATAATGGCTCTGGCTAAACACTAAATGCGATGGTGATTGGACGGCGGAGTATAACTATTGAAGCTGATAGGTCACTTTGTTGTTCGAGACATTTCTTAGCGAAGGCCTGAGTAAAAGGAGCATTTCATTTCGGACTTGGATTCTTCTAGCGGATCTCGGCTTGAAGATGCTTCTGTCTCGGACTTGAGCTGCCAGATACTAACACTCAGACTGGGCTTTTAGATTTATAAGACTCGGCCAGTTAATCTAACACGTGGGACTTTGAAAAGTTCATTAGACTCAATAATTCTTATGATATAATAATGTGTAGCATATATGTAGTCCAAAGACACGAGAAGATGCATACAGAATATCATCCTCTATACCGTCAAGTTCATAATCCGTAACAAGTAAGAAAGAGGTGGCTTAGTTTTGATTCGGCTTCTATACATGCACTACAGTGAATAAATTGTTAATTTGAATCCTCGAGAACATTATAGGGTGAATCAACATAGTGTTTGGTGTCACATAATACCACTATATTGCGTAGTTTTCCTTACACTTTGTACTGCTTAGGACACAACTAGAATTAAGGTAGGACACCGCTCGAGCATACGGGCCCTGGTCACGACTGGAGTAAAATCTTGGATTGGCCATATATAGACGGTATATGGATTCCTTAATACCTAAAAAGAATTTATTTCTTATATAAATCCATCCTATATATTAATTAATTATGTGCGTGGATTTATGCCATTCGAATTTCCATTGAATTATCCACCTAGTAACTTCAGAAAAAACTGTTGTCGGTGAAAATTCATAACTGGTTGGAGCAAAGGATCTGGGTATTTAAAATTCCCCAACTTTGAACTGGCTTGTAGATAGTTCTTGATTATCATCTTTATGAAGCAAGGCTTGATCGATCCTGGTTTCTAGAAAATCTTTTCAACCATTTAAACCTGATAGTGTCAAATTCACGTAAACCATCGATCTAAACCCTCAGTATCTGTCAAAACGTAACATTTCCCGCCATTTCGGCATTTTATATAGAATGACATTTTAGATCGTAAAAGTCAGATGTGGTAAAGAAAAATGTTTCCAATTATCATCAAGGACATAAATGGATTAGTAGCAGTTAGGAGACGAAGTTCAGTGATGATGCATCATATTGCCGTGACTACCAAATATGTCTTTATACTTAACCAAAAGGAGGGGGAAATTGCAATTTGGAAGTACACTCTCGAAGGTAACTAATAAGCAATATTATTTCGTATATTGTTTTTAGTAGATCTAACTTGAGAATTGATGCTTGACAGGGAGGAAATACAGCGCATCAAGGCAGCTAATCCTGAAATTCCTCATAGAGAAGCCTTTAGCATGGCTTCAAAAAATGTACGTAAAAATATATAGTGTATACTACCGTTTCATCGCTTTCTCTATGAATATTTGCATGATATTTCATAATTTTTTGCGAGCTAATTTGATCGATATACTAATTACAGTGGGCTAAGTGTGAACCTCGAACTACAGTTCTGACTGCTGACAACAACGTTACTGCAGTAAGACCTAGCGGCCTTCAACCAGTATGTAACTTCACTCTTCTTGCTCAAAGGAAAGCTAATTTATATCATCATCATATTATTATTATTACCTAGTTAAATTTCTTCATTGATTTTTATTCTTGGAATGTGCAGAAAAGTGTCGGTGATGGTTTTGCAGGAGAAAGCTTTAATCTTTTCAGGGAAATGGAGCGCAACTAGACCATTTTATTTATGCCTCATAGCCCTCTAGATATGGGACATGCTTTATGTTATTTGATGATCAGTGTGGCATGTATGTTTGATGAATCTCTATTTGTTTTGCTTTCATACATTCCTGGAGCATGCTTACTCCTGAAAAACTTTACATATCAGTATTTGTTATTTCTCAAAACATAAATAGTTCATTTTCTAGACAAAACTTAACAATCAGTTGTAAAATTTTGTAGATGTCAATTATACACTTTCTTATTCGTTGAATCGCCGTATGGACTAGTAACTGTATCATATAGGAGTTTACAGTTTCAAGATAGTGTAAGTTACCGAACTTACTGGAATGAATAGAAGACAAACACCCTACCCTAATTTATTGATGTATCCTTGTTATCTAGCTTTGATGAGGCTGCTATCTGATAAAAAAAATGACATAAAGATGATAAAAATTCAAATTATAAGAAGTAGGGTTAGGTAGTGAAATTGTAGGCTCTCGATAACTATAAGCATGCAATAAGGATAATTGGTAGTGAAATTGCACTGCGGAAAGCAATTTTAGGGTTTATCCTTATTGCATGCAATAAGCATGCAATAAGGATAATCTATAGCTAGATTATGCACTGCGGAAAGCAAAGAAACCCTAGCATGCACTACTAAACACAAACAACTAGTTTAGGGTTTACCAAACTGATCATTTCTATAGGATTGTCACGTACACCTTTCTTGATGAATGACCAGAGGGCGACCATACCGTGCAACCGGTAGAAACCTCAGCTTATCATCCCGTGACTATCTTATAAAGTATGAATTCGGATGGAGAAGGAGATGATAGCTATATGAAGGTTCATGGTGTATATCCCTCTATTTTCATGAAGGCTTCATGTTAGAATCCTACACACATTAGGATTATGAATATCTTATCTCTAAGATAATATATTATTAACCCACTTATTTGGGTGTCTATCTCATAATCATAACTAACATACTCTCACTCACACAAATGAGTAGGTGTCATTCATTGCTCCCTAAGTTGACTCCCTGAGTCGTCGACTTCCTGAGTCAAAGTCTCTTTGAGAATCTCTTTTCTTTTTAAATCCATATCCATATATTATTAGTGCGGCATGGACCGTTGATAAACTACAATTGGGTAGCCTTGCAGCTAGATCCATTAGGACCGACACAAGTGTTTTTTTGAAAGTTGCCTTCATTATTGATTTTATTACAACTTTAGTCGTTTACAATGAATTCAAATAACAAAAGTAAAAAAAATTACAAATCTCTTGAAAATAAACGCAACATTCGTTTATCGTCTCTTGCTTGCGTGTGTTCTTGGCCAGTGACGGGGACGTCAATATCCGTGGACCATCAGACGATCAAATCAGATCCGAAGCTTCGTCGATTCGCGAAGGAATCAAGAAGCCGAAGCACTTATCTCGGCAACAGCGAGATAATTACTCTTCTTAAAATCACCGCAACGGGGTAATTTTAAGGGACGAACACGGGAACTGCAGATCTAACGAACTCTTCTTTCCTGCGCTGAAGAACTCGATCAATCTCCTCCTCTGTTCTGAAATTCGTACACCTTCAGTCTTTAGTCCGGCAGGGCTTTGCCAACGCTCGAGAATTCCAGATCCGAAAAAATAAAGGCCCTGAGGCTGTATTTATAGGCTTCAAGACCTCTGTTTTCGGATAAGAACGGTTGATTCCTTCTTATCTTTAGTTAAAACCACTTAACCACATTATCAGATCAGTTGGAACAAATACAGACGGTTAACGATTGAAAAAAAAGCTCTAAACTGCCAAAAACAGCTTTTCGGATCTACGGACACCCGTGGGTGTCTCGGCCAAGCTTGGGCCGAGACACCATTTGGTGTCTCGGCCATGCTTTGGCTGAGACACCATGTGGTGTCTCGGCCAAGCATTGGCCGAGACACCATTTGGTGTCTTGGCCAAACTTTGGCCTGGACCTGGTTTTGCGGTTCTACTTGTTTCCACCGTATCTTCATCGTTCGAACTCGGAATTACGTGGTTCGAGATGTGTTGAGACACCATGTGGTGTCTCGGCCATGCCTTGGCCGAGACACCATTTGGTGTCTTGGCCAAGCATTGGCCGAGTCAGCATTTGGTGTCTTGGCCAAACTTTGGCCTGGACCTGGTTTTGCGGTTCTACTTGTTTCCACCGTATCTTCATCGTTCGAACTCGGAATTACGTGGTTCGAGATGTGTTGAAAAGCTAATGAGGAGATATATAAGCTCCCATGGTTGAATCACATGTGGAATAAATGAGATACGAGTGGCGCTTCGCATTTTGTAAGCGACATGGGGCTCCTGATCAGATCATGTTTCTGTTATTCTGTTGTTCTGTTGCTTTGTATGGTCCATCGACTCACTCCGTGTGTTCATCATTGTCAAATGAGTTTCTGTGACTCAAATAGTAACGGTCATCGTCTTCTCTCTGTCTTAAGTCGCGTGTGGGGACCTATAGGTAATTTTTAACGCCTACAGATACCCCCTCTAAAGTGTTTCAGTCTCATTTCTTTTATAGATGAGCCTGAAATACTTTGGATATGATTGGTTCAACCTTTAGTTGGTGCAAAGGACCTATAGTTAGCTTTGATTCTTGACTCCTTTGATTTTCAATCTATTCGATGTTTTGACGAATAACTGAAGTTCTCTCGGCGCTGCGTTTATCGTCTAGCCGTCATCGAAATCTTGAATCAAAACCGGTGAGTTGATTTTGGCTCGTATCATCGAGTTGACTTTGAACTGACTATTCCATCATGATATATTGACTCGTATTGACTTTCATCGCAACGTGTTGACTGGCGTTGATCTAAGGATACGCGTTGATCGACATTGACCTAGGGTTTCGGATCGCCTAGTGTTGACTTTTTATCACAACGCGTTGACTGGCGTTGACCTGAGGTTACGCGTTGACCGACGTTAACCAAGGTTTCGGATCGCCCGGCGTTGATTTTTTTATCGTAACACGTTGACTGGCGTTGACCGGCATTAACCTAGGATTTCGAATCGTCCGGCGCTGACTTTTTATCGCAACGCATTGTCTGGCGTTGACCTAGGGTTACGCATTGACCGGTGTTAACCTAGGGTTTCAAACCTCCCGGTGTTGACTTTTTATCACAACACGTTGACCGACGTTGACCTAAGGTTACGTGTTGACCAGCATTAATCTAGGGTTTCGAATCGACCAGCGTTGACTTTTTCATCGTAACGTGTTGATTGGCCTTGACTTAGGGTTACGCGTTGACCGGCGTTAACCTAGGATTTTGAATTACCCAGAGTTGACTTTTTCATCGTAACGTATCGACTGGTGTTGATCTAGGGTTATGCGTTGATCGGTATTAACCTAGGATTTCGGATCGCCCGACGTTAACTTTTCATCATAACGCGTTGATTGTCATTGACCTAGGGTTACGCGTTGATCGGCGTTAACCTAGGGTTTCGAATCGCCCTGCGTTGACTTTTTCATCATAACACGTTGACTGATGTTGACCTAGGGTTACGCGTTGACCGATGTTAACCTAGGGTTTCTGGTCGCCCGGCGTTGACTTTTTTTCTGTAACGTGTTGACTGGCGTTGACCTAGGGTTAAGCGTTGATCGGCGTTAACCTAGGGTTTCAAATCGCCTGGTGTTGACTTTTCATCGTAACGTGTTGATTGGCGTTGACCTAGGGTTACACATTGACCGACGTTAACCTAAGGTTTCGAATCGCCCGGCGTTGACTTTTTCATCGCAGCGCGTTGACTGGCGTTGACCTAGGGTTACGTGTTTACCGGTGTTAACCTAGGGTTTTGGATCACCCGGCGTTGACTTTTGATCGCAACGTATTGACTGGCGTTGGCGTTGACCATGGGTTACACATTGATCGGCGTTAACCTAGGGTTTCGAATTGCCCGACGTTGACTTTTATGTTGATTTTCATCAGAATGACCAACCACCGGTGATATAGGCTCATAAAAATACCCGGATGGCTCGACCTGGGCTAAGACACCCTTGGGTGTCTCGGCTAAGGCCGAGACACCCTAGGGTGTTTCGGCCCAAAGGCCGAGGCACACTCCCCTTCCCGCTTTTTTTGTTTGTTCTTTTGTGATTGTACTTTTCCCCCTCTTTCCAAAATTTCAAATAGACTTCCATTCCCTCTCAAACTCTTCTTCCTCCTCTCATCCAAAAACTCCATTTCTCTTTTTTTTAAGAACTCTAAACCCATCAAAACACTTGCCTTTAAAACCCTCAGCCCTCCAACATAATTTCGGATTTTTTTGCCCTCATTATTTGGCCAAAAATTATCCCCTATCAAAGCTAGGGTTCATCTCATCTTCAAGCTCAAGACTTGATCTTTTGGAGTTAGGTTTTCAAGCTCTTGGCTTGGGTAAGCTCCTCTTCAACTCTCTCTCTCTTTTTTTTAAGAAAGATTGAAACTTTATACTTGTAATCAGGGTATGCCATGAATTTGTATGCAAAGAAGGTGTCTTTTTGTTTTCATGAGTTAGGTTTTGTGTAAAAGATTGAATCTTGAAGGTTGGTTTTGAAGATGGCCGAATTTTGAGGGGTTTTATGCAAAAAACTAGGGCTAAAATTTTGAGGGGTTTTGTACAAAAATAGACTGAAATTTTGGGCCTTCTGTGCAAAAATGGACTGAAATTTCATGCACATTTGGCCAAACTTCGAGGGGTTTTTCATGCAAAAAGACCATCAATTGTTGAGGGGTTTATGTGTAAAAAGTGGTCAAAATTGGTTGAGGGCCTTATTTGCAAAGTGGCTGAAATTTTGGGGCTGAAATTGTGAGATATTGAGGACCATGATTTTCTTTCCTCGATCATGGCCAAATTCAAATGTGTTCGTGGCTAAAATTTAATCTTGAACATGAGGGGTATTGTGGGTATTTCACCCAAAAGTTGATCATGAATGTTTTAAATGCAATTTGAATACATTGTTTGCATTCATAAAACTCATAGGTTTAATTAGATTTCAACTATAAAATCCTATTGTGTTTATAGGATTTTAGTTAAAGTTTATAATTTCTCTTTTACTTTTAGGGTACTTGGATTTATGATTATACCTGATCCGTTGATTTTCGTTGCAGGTTAACCATGTCTCCGCGCCGATCGTGATTTTATAGGAGTCGCTCCTCTTCTCAGCATAGCGAGAGGGAGGCTCTCGTGGCGTCCTCTTACGGGGGTGAGCTTTTATGCCTTATGTATCCTCG